ATCACTCTTAGATTCTCATTTCCCTGGGTTAACTGTTAGTCATTTAGCCAATCAGAAATGTACTTTAACTATTTAAAAAATCAGATGTAGAATATATACAAATAAAATTTCAAGCACTTTGAAAATATAGTTTAAACTTTACAGATAATTTCAGCTGTTGTCTGAATGCCAGACTGAAATGTAAACATTATAATATCTGTATCCTTTGGTTATTATGGAAACTGCAAAATTGCTAAATGTTAAAAATGCTATATTCTGAAATTGGAAAGATTTAGCCAGATGAAGTAAATCAGTCCTCCCAGAGAATATTCAGTGTTGCAATTTCTTCTAACATCACAGTTTGCAGTTAAAATTAATTTGTGGAGCTTTTCCAATATGATATTCAGATAATTCTTAATTTTGAAATAAGTACTATAGAATTGTAGCAGTCAGAAGACATTCTCCCATATGTTTCTTACCAGATAAATTATTTTCTGCTGAGTGAAAGTACAGAAATAAGAATATAAGTACTAATAAAAATATGAGGTATGTCTATAAAATGGTATGATTTAATAAAAAGTAGAAACTTGTATGTGCATATGAATACTATCCTTTGCAAAATGGTTACCTGCAGAGACTAAATGCTTATTGAATGGTATCATGACTCAGAACATGGTTTTGGAACTCTAATTGCCTTAAGAACTAGCAGCATAATTTTTTTTGTACATCTTCATTCTTTGGACCCTTCTCTGAAGTCAATAGATACTGTTCCTGTGCAAGTGCAGTTGCATAATATCTTGAGCCTGGTGTGTTTTGGAATTTTCACTTTGAGAAAGGTAACATCCCTGTTCTGTACATAACAGACCAGCAACAGTGGGGCCAGCCGCTCATAATCAAATATATTAATATTTCTGCAGCAGCTTGAATCAACATTCACACTAAGTAGATTAAATAAATATTTTAAACAGCTTCACATCAGTTCAGTTGGTGCTTTGCCACCAAAAGAGATTACCGTAAACTTAGGAACAAACTTCTGAGTTTGTGGGTTTTGAAATCTTGGATACAGGATTGTGGACATTGATTTACCTTTGAGAAATATCTATAGATTCTTAATTCTGTTTTTCTATTTGCTAATTTCCTTATCTTTCCTCTGATCACCACTGCTTATCTCCTGCTTGCGTTGATTTTATTTTTTTTTCCTTGATTTCTTGACTGGATATAGTTCATGTGTTTTATTTCTTTTTTCTTAGTGAAAAGTGTTTAAGGCCATGACTGTACTTACTGAATAGAGCTTTGATTTATCTCATAAGTCTTTCTAGTAGTGTTCTCATTTTTTTATTGCTTGTAAAATAATCTCATTACATTATAAAAATTCCTCTTTGTCTCAATATGTACTAAGATGTTTTATAATTTCAAGTTATAGGAATAATTTTTAGGCTTTAGGCGTTAATTTCTAGTTTTGCTGCATTACAGTGTTTTAGTATTTATGAAGGGTACTCTTAATATAATGATTTTTTTAAAAATCCTTCAAGAACTGACATTTTAAAATAAGTAATATCTTTCAAAATGTGCTTATTCTAACCATGTTTCCATTTACTAAAAAATTTCTCAGTCTCTTTTATTAGAATTACTTAGGAGTTTACCTCCAACTAAAAATGAAAACAATAGTTTCTTTGCTTTTTAGTTAAATGTTTCAGATTGATTAAAAGCGGGGTTATTTAACTGTTCACCTTTCCTGTCTTTCCTTGTTCCAAATGTTGAATGATGATTTCTAAAAAGCAAATCTACAGGCATGTAACAAAAAACT